CCCCAAAACCCCAAAACCCCAAAACCCCAAAACCCCATTTTTAAAATATTCAAATGAAATTATTTATTTTATAAGCAAAATGGGGAAAAGACGTAAGCCTTCTTGAGTCTGGTAGAGCCAGATTTTGTGCTAGATTTTGAAATAGGGATTTAGGGTTGGCTTTGGAGTCTTGGAGGGGCTTTCTGGCTCTTCAAATCTGGTTTGGACTTGTTTTTTTTTGCTTGATTTGGGCCAATTTTTGGACAGATTTTGAAGCTATTGATTGCATAAAATTTTGAGTAAAGGGAATATCCTTTTCAATAAGTTATTCAAGAGTTATGAGACATTTTGAGACATCTAATAACGATATTATCTTTAGTAAAAGCAATCACCCAGTACAAAGGTCCGAATGGAGCAAAGTTTACATGAGGAGTCATTGGACATAAGAATTATCTGATAGCTGCTGGCTCCTAGTGAAGGAAGCATGCATGTCTATGAGTTCAACTCTAAAAAGCCATTAAGCTCCTATACCTCGTTTAACTCTGATGTCACTTGAGTAAAGTTCTCATATGATGAAACCAGAATATTTGCAGGCACTTATGGAGGGACACTCTATGCGTATAATTACGAAAGAGGGAAAATATCAAATACTTTCAGAGGCCATCTCACTCATTGCAGATGTGTTGTTAGTCAAAAGCAGGATATCTTCAATTATGTTATCTCAGGAGCAGCTGACACCAATGTTAAGGTATGGGATATGAGGCAGAAATCAGCCATTGCAACCTATAAAGGGCATAATAAAGGTATAATGGCAGTCGATGTCTCTCCTGATACTAAATATATTGCCTCTGGCTGTTCTGGAGGTGTAGTTAAAATATGGGACATTACAGCAGGAAAATGATCAAATTCCTTTGATGTGAAGAAGATCAGCGCCTCAGAGAATTGATTTATCAAAGATATCAAGTTCAACCCTGCTGATGTTTGTATGGCAGTCGCCTCAAGTGATAAAGTAATTCGGTATTACGATGCGATATCTTACGAATTGATAAACGAATCTATTCCAGATGTCCACCCTCTGTCAACAGTAGACTTTAATCCAGATGGAGATGTAGTTATTGGAGCTTACTCTGATTCCTTAAAGGTGTGGAACATGGAAGACAGAAAGCTAGTTTCTCTAGTCTCAAAGACTGCACGAGCGGGTAGATTTTACTGAGTTTATTTTATAGTCTTCGATTTGTCTTCAGGGAGTAGCACAGGTTACACTTTCCTCCTTGAAAATCTGAACGGGCAGTTAGGCTTAAGTGAAATTGCGACCAGTTTAATCACTTCAAAGGATGAGCAACAAGTAGAAAACTTCGAAGAGGAGAAATAAGGTTGATAAAAGTTTGAATATGGGAAATGGTTATCCTGCTGGAAACAAAGAAGAAATAAACTTCTATCAGCCTGGTAAAGGCCAAATGGGTTCTAACAGTAAGTTATGTCCCTAACTTTAGACTATGACTACGAGTATAAATTTGAAGATAGTAATAACCTTGATAATCCTGACGAGTTCAGTTACCAATCGCCGAATCTTAATAAGGAGAATTCAAAACCAATAACTAATGAAGGGGCTCAATTGCCAAGGAAACTTTCTAGAAAATAACAAGAGTCGAAAGAAGGTGTTCTGAAATAATGCGAAAGCTATGATCGAGAACCCGACTGGGAACAGTAAGCCAATGCTTGGCAGAGGACCTACTGGTCCACCTCTTGAAATGAACTCAGTCCTTGCAGGGAAAGGGATAAACAGCCATTTTGAGCCCAAGCCAGTCACTAAGGCAACAATAATGCCTAGTGAGAACCAAAAATTGACAGAGGACAAAATTAAGAACTTTGAGGAACAGATTAATGACAAGTATGGAGACATAGATATTGATAAAAGTGCTGTCAGCAGTCTGTATGAGGTACCTATAGATCAACCTGTAGGACTAAATCTCGAGAAGTTCCTAAATAATGTGTCAAAAGGAATCACTTCATCCCAAACCTTTACTACTATAGGGAATGTTCCTTCAATCGAAGAGCAGAGAAACATCATCGAGGATGTGATCAAATCCAACAAAACAACATTGAGTATCTTAAGCTCTCGAAAGATTCATTTGGACAATATAAAGCAGAATTGGCGACTAGGGGATCTCTCTAAAACTCTTAATTCCATGGTAATCAACAAGGACACTAGCGCAGTGATGGATTTCTTCAACAACACCTTCGTTGTAAGAGAGGGTGGGCCTGACCAAGAGACTGTTCGGAAGAATTTAGGATTGGTGAAGATCACCAATTGACTGTCACTACTATCCCATATCTATACTTTGTTGCAGACAAAATATGAAACATACCTTCTCTGTGGCATTAAAACTCTCAAGGTAATCATGCAGCCAATCTCTGAGATCATATTCAAGTGCTCCAATGACATTAAGAATGGGATCGAAGTGGCTGGAGAGATCAAAAATGATGAGAAGAAAAGAAGACTCAAGCACTTATTTAAGCAACTGACTAAGATAGTCAACTCTTCAGCAATAAACAAAGCCAAATTAAGAGAGAATAAAAGTGGGAAGATGTTCAGGGAGGTACTCCCTGAAATTGAGCTGTTTCTCTCGAAATATGATATTTCTTCCTAAGATTGCTAAACTTAGTTTAACTAGCTTCATCTCTTGAAAAGGTGAATATTTTCTAATTTATGGTCTATTTCTTTTCGTTACATGTTGGAATAAAGCATTAAGGAAGATTTGAAAATTTACAATTGGTATTACATAAACCATATGCATCAAATCTTTGGTTCAGTAATCTCTATACATTTAAAACTGATCTACTGCAAATCATCATATAAATCCAAGTACTTAATCGTTGCAGATAGAAAATATTGAGGGTGTCTTACAAGTATTCTCAAGTTTTCAATCTAAAAGTGAAATCTAATTTCCTAAAGACAAAATTAAGTTCAGCATCCTAATTCGCTCTAGACTTCATATAAATCATTGCAACGAAAGTAGTCAATAGAGAACGTCTCTAAAAACTCTAGAAGTGGCCTCCTTCAGCCCGATAAGTTTATTAAGCGCTAAAATCTTGGTTGTTTTCAATAAGAATTCCTTTACCTGGGGTTTTGGGGTTTTGGGGTTTTGGGGTTTTGGGGTTTTGGGG